AAATTCCAGGACAACCAAGGCTACACAGAGAAATCCCCACCTTGAGAGAGGGGATGGATGGGGTGGGGGAGGAGATGGTCAGACAAGACCAGGGATTGGATAGCAGAGGAATCCAAGATTCATTCAGAAGGGCAGATAGTTTTAAATTCTGCATTTTCGTAGCTCTGTCGATTTTACTTTTAGAAGTTAGAAAAATACCATGTAAGTCCACATTTCACGCACAGGGTGTTCATTGTATTTGGTTACATGGAGAAGGAAACAGCCTCATTGCCTAACAATAGTAGCCTAGCTAAATAAATTATGTCATCCATACAATGGCATTCTAAGCAGGGTTTTTGTTTTTTTTTAAACTGTGTGACAATGTTTCTTGCTCTCTCTTCTGCATCAGAATTACCTAGCGGGCCCACTAAAACTTTGCTTGCTGAGCCAAGTTTGTGGAGTTTCTGATTTAGTGGACCTGAGATAGGGTTTAAGAATTTGCTTTTCTAAAAAAAAAATCCCCCAAGGGTACCAGAGGTCCAAGGACTGTACTTTCAGAACTGCTGATATACAGGCATATTTTTTGACCCAGAAGAATACTCATCAATTGTACAGAATTGTTGGCAGTCTATACAGGAGTTTAGGGGGAAAGATATTATTAAGTTCATATTCCTAACTGTCTGTGGAAAAAAAAAAAACCATAGTGTGGATACTTGTCTTCTAAATTATGAATAGAACTTCTCTGTAATGAGCAGAATGCCAGTAACTAAAACACAATAAAAATCACTAAATTTAAGGAGAAAGAGTCCTGAGGCACCAGGCATCAATCTAAGAGGCTGGAAGAAGGCTCAGTCTTTATCAGGAAGGAGGGCTCCTGACTCTTGTACTTGTTGGGAGTGTCCGGAGGCAGAAGCTCATTGATGGATCAACCCCCAGGCACCTCCTGCTCTTCCTGGGGACAAAACAGAAAGGGGCTGATGGGAAATGAAGGGCTCCCACAGCGCCTTCCTCCTCTCCAGCAGTGACACACAGGCTTCTTCTGGGTAGGACCCAAGGGCCACCTGCCAGGACTCCACAGCATCTGCATTGGCCTACTCTGTTTCCTGATGTAGGCTAGATCCCCTTCCCAGAGTATCAGATTAAGGCGTCTCCTCTCTGGAAAAAAAAAGATTTCATGGTTTAAATTCCCGTTCCCTTTTGTGTCGGTGGCACTCGGCTGTCTCCTTCCCAGTACGCAGCCGCAGGGGTCACGATGTCCCTTCCCGGCTGATAGCAGCCTGCCAACTGTGGTGTCATGCACACCCAGCACAGAGCCACCATTCAGCCTCCCTGGGCTGGGTTCAGGAAGCAAAAGGGCCTCTAAGTTTCCCCAAACCTTGATGGATCTTGTGCTTTTGCCGAACAACTCACGGGGCGAGAGGGTTGGGGAGGGAGAGGGGGATCCCGGTAAATGTCCAGAATGTCAAGGGTAAGCACGTGACCGGAACAGAGAGCAAACAACTGCCTCCGATGTCCAGGAAAAGGAAGGGTGGGCAGACAGCCCGTGAAGCCTAGAGGCTTCTCAGCGGGCAACGCTTGTCTAGCGCTGGGTCATGTCTCCCTATGCCTGCATGAAGAGCTAACAGAGATGGCTGTGTCTCCTTCGTTGCCCATAACGGCTCCAGCTTTGGGGATTTTTGTTTGTCAAGTGTTTCAAAAAAAAAAAATATGAAGCAGGTTCTCTGATGTCTATCTTTACAAAGCAAAACCCATTATTTCCGCGACAACTCTCAACTCAGTGACATAGTGTTGGGTCGGAAAAGTTGATTCCGCACGGTGTCATTTCCCACCGACTTAATGCGGTTAAAAATGGGCCAGAATACTTTTAAGATAGCATTTGTCTGCGTTTGAGGTGTTTAGAAATGCACGCACCGCTTAGTTGATAACGCAGCCTCTATGACTGCTGTACCAAGCTCTTCCCTCTCCCCCTGGGATGCTGTGAAATCCTGCAGAGCGTTTATCCCGGGGCTCTGTACGTGGGAGGCGGGGCTTCCAAACTCATCGTTACTCAGAAGCAAAGGGGATTTTTGTCATTCATTAGTCATTAACCAAAAATGCATTAAACACCCACAAAGTGCCGGGATGGCTCCTGTGATGTTGGGACTACCCCCAGGAAGCTTTCACTCTGCCCAGGAGGACAACAGACCAAAGACTGTCAGGGACTAAGCGTGGGTACTACAGTACTGATTGCTGTTAGTGCTCTAAGCAGACTGTCAGGTACTAAGCACGGGCATATAAGTACTAAGGACCAAAATCAGGCAGGGCCATTGAAGACTGTATTTTATTCTGAAGAAAATGGGTCTTTGACAGGGCAGGGAGGAGGACGGTTAAGCAAGAGTGTGGGGCAATTCGAGCTTCCCCTATATACTGCAGGGAAATGCTTTCTGACTACTGTAGAAAGGCCAAGGGTCCACCGAGTTCCGCCCAGGCAGTGTTATATTTGATGGAGAGCAGTGTTGTCCTCACAGGCAGGGTGTAGGTTCTCCGCAGCGGACCCCTTCCTTTCCACGTTTTCGCTATAAATTACGTTTCTTTTGGGTGGCGGGGTGGGGGGTGATACGGGGTTTCCCTATGTAGGGCTGGCTGTCCTGGCACTCGCTCTGTAGACCAGGCTGGCCTTGAACTGGGTGATCCACCTGCCTCTGCCTCCCAAGTGCTGGGTTTAAAGGCATATAACACTATGCCTGGCCATTTCTTTTCTTTCTTTTTTAATTTTTACGATGTTTGTGTCTTGTATGTGTGTGAGTGCTTTGCTTCCATATATATGTGTGCCCCATATATGTGCTGGGTGTTTGTGGAGTGCCGAGAAAGGCGTTGGATCCCCTGAAACTGGAGTTATGAATATTTGTAAGCTACTATGTGGGTAACTAAACCCAGCCTTACAAGAGCAACGAGTACTCTTAACTGCTGGACCATCTCTCCAGCCCCCTAAAATTCATTCCTAAAATAAAAAAAAATCTTATCTAAAGCATCCTTAAGAAAAATTCAGTTTTTTTAAAAAAAAAAAAAAGAAGGAAAAAGAAAAAGTGGAAACAACGTTGAGGATATAGAGAGCTTCCCTAGCGTGTGAGCCTGTGCAAAGCCCATTGTTTGATCCTTGGAACAAAAACAAATTTAAAAAAAAATATTTTTCTATAAGGTCAACTTGGATACATTTTCCCTAAGTGGTAGTTTTTTCCAAAGCCTACATTTGAAAATTATGTTCGTGCTACTTAGTTATCAAAATATTTCTGGGTTTTGTTTATTATTGTTAGAGTATTTAAGACTTCACAGCCTAAAAGATGCTCAAGAATCTCAGCATGCTCAGTGCTCAAGACTGACAAAGTTTTATTCTATGTCTTTATAAATCCTGCATAATAAGCATGTGTTGTTTAATACTATTTCATATTACAATACTTCAGAATCTCTTATATCCCTTGTTTCCATTGGCTGTGGCCAACCTTACTCCTCCAGGTAGCAGGCAAATTGGGGACTGTGTGTCACCCATGCCAGAATCACTTACGACCCCAGCACTGTGGAGACTCATGCATGAACAAAAGTTTCCTCCCACCACCCAAAGTCTGCCCCGAATCCTCCTCTCTCCAGTTTCCTTCCTCAAACCTCAGAGTTGTCTGTAACCTACAGGAGAGAAGCAGGCTCAGTAGTCACGTGGTGTATTATTTGACCAGGAGGGATGTCGGAAGCTTGGTCAATCTCTTTTCTCCTCACACTTGGATCGAAATGACTTCTGACTCATTTCAGAAATCAGTCTGTCCTCAAGGGCAGTGCATTTACCGTCTGTAGGAATACTCTTTTTGTAAAAGTGCCTACAAATGTGGAATTCAGTTCCAGCAAAGGAAAACTCAAAATATTTGTAGAACAGAAATAATGGCCCTAGTTGTTAATCAATTAGTCTTTGAAAGGGTTAAGTTTCATTCAGAAATATAAGCTCCTGGATCTTGGCTTTACAGTTGCTTCTCAACTGGCTGTCCTGTTCGATTTTTGACTATTTAGATATCTATTTACTGAAGGGGTAGGCATCCAACCCAGGGCCTCCCTTGAGCTACACACACACGCTCTGATTCAGCCACTCCCCTCATTCTTTACCTGTATAATCTGTAATGGCGAATCAATCCCACACCAGTTAGGTTTTAAAGGGGGTATTTATTTTGGGGGGTAAAACTTACATACACACAAACCATCAGGAAAGGAGCCTAGTCACTGGAGCAGGAGCCGGAACCAAGCATTGGAACCAAGAGAGGCCAAGCCGAGGCTTGCTGCTTTTTTTTAAAAGAGAAATATACCACGCCCCCAGTGAGCGGAAGGTACTCCCGCAGCAAATCTGTGCTCTGGGAAGTGAGGCTATCTTTTTAGAACGTGCAATGACTCATGGGATATCTGGCCACACCATCCCATTGGCTCCCTGCAGTGCAAGTCACCCCCACCACAGCCTCTCAAGGCCCTCCCTCTCTGCACGTCATGTTTGCTTCTTACTCTTTCCAGCCCCTCTTCCCTTGTTCACTGGTCTCCAGGCACGCGGACCTTCTTTGTTTGGTTTGGGTTTGGATTTGACACAGGGTCTCTCCGTGTTGCCCTGGCTGGTCTTGAACTCTTGATTCATGTGATCTTCTTGCCTCACTCCTATTTGCCACCGTGCCTGGCCTGCTGTTCTTCCTAAAGCAAATCAAGCTTGGCTCTGCTACGAAGCCTTGAAGCTTGCTGTTCCTTCTGCTCAGAATGCTCATCCCCCATGACCTCTGCATGGCCACCGTCATCCCGGCTGGTTACTCACTGTGTACTTCTGTATCCCAACAGGACGTACACCCGCTCCTTAGAATAACAGGGTGGTTCTTCTCCAGGTGTGAGCAAGGCCTGAAAGCCTCAGGTTATCTTATCACGCCGATAACCAGAGGCATAAATCAAACTGGGACTACAGCTGGCAAACAGTCCAGGGCTTGCACACCGCCTGTGCACACACACATGGTGTTCTCTTCTCCTTGCAGGTTATTTTCAGAGCTCTGTCACCACCGTACGACATAGAAAACCCTTACGGTGCCAAAGTTCAGGAGCAGCTGAAGATCACCAACCTCCGCGTGCAGCTGCTCAAGCGACAACCCTGCCCTTGTCAGGGAAACGACGTGAACGCAAAGCCTCAGCATTTCACACACTATGCCATCTATGACTTCATCGTCAAGGGCAGCTGCTTCTGCAATGGCCACGCTGATCAGTGTGTACCTGTGGATGGCTTCAGACCCGTCAAGGCTCCGGGAGCATTCCATGTGGTAGGTTAAAAAAAAAAAAAAACCAGAAGTTTGGCTTTGAGGACCATAGTCTAAGTCCCCTGAGTCTGCCTAACGGTGCTTCTTATTTCTTCCTTGCTATCCATTCCTCTGACTCCCTACTCAACCCATGAAGAGCTATTAACTTGTTTTTGAAATAATAGTCAAGTATGATAATTAGATTCCTTGGGAAATATCTATGACAGTATTTTTGTGCCATGACCTTTGTATCCAAAGTGTAATGTGAGCAGGATTGAGAAGTTGGCATGATCATATTATTAACACACACACAAGCCACCTTTGGCTTCAGGAAGTAGGGACCACCGTTGAAATTTATGGAGCGAGGAAAACTAGATCCTCAGTTCAATGTCTGGTGGCTTTGCGGTCCATCAGTAGGACGGATAGCAATTCTCTGCGAGGAGCAACCTGAATTCCCATCACCCGAACGTAGAGCAAACCTCTCCTACTTCCATGTTCTCAGAACACAGACATGTAGATGGAGTCCACTCATTTGTTCTTGGTTGCCCAGACCCGAAATAATCACACAGAAACTATATTATTTGCAATAATGTTCGTCCAATAGCTTAAGCATATTGCTAGTTAGCTCTTATATCTTAAATTAATCCATCTCTATTAATCTGTGTATTACCATGAGGTCGTGGCTTACCAGCAAAGTTCCAGCATGCAGAGTCCATCTCCTGTGGGGGCAACATGGCATCTCCCTGACTCCGCCTACTCTCTCCTCCTCTATCTGCTTGGAACTCTCGCTTTGCCCTACTCTGGGCTGCAACAGGCCCAAAGTAGCTTCTTTATTATTATTATGCATACAGAGGGGAATCCCACATCACGGACATATATGTCTTCCACCTATTTCCCTGCAATGCTGCCCATTTCCCTTTGAGACTGTAACTCCCTGAGACCAGGGGATGTGGTTTCAGGATACCCACCTCCTCAGGACCCGGCAATTACCTGAACTAGACACAGGTGCACAGTAAGTGAAAATTAGAACTCAGGTAGAAGATGTTTCTAAATTTGGCATTGATTGCTTTCGCTATCTTCCAAAACAGAAAAGGTCTCGGACATCAAGCACTTCAGAACTATGGATGGGGATTAGTAGGGAAAAAAAAAAACAATTAAAACTAAGTAGAAAACACACTTCTTTTTTTTTTTTTAACTTAACATTTTTCTTTACCTTTTGAAATTAATTTTTGGCTACCATACAAAGTAACGGATTTCACTGGGATATTTTCACACTTGCCTGTCATTATACTTTGGGTTTATTCAGTTCCCACCCTCCACCCCACCCCTCCTCCCTCTTGTCATCTTCCCTCCCCAGAAGTCCCTTTCTTGTCACATTCATTCTATTGCCCTCTCTTTAGAGCACCCAAAAGCACCCTTTCTGCTATCCTGTCACTCACACACACACACACACACACACACACACACACACCTGCATAAATACATACTGTGTATGCATGCATATATAAATCTAAACCTAGATTCTGCACATGAGATGACACATGATATCTTTATGAGTGTGCCTTGCTTTATTTAACATAATGATCTCCACCGCCATCCACTTTTTTGCAAATGTCACAATCTCATCCTTACAGCCCAGCTCCAGTCCTCCAGGCTGGCTAGTCATATCCTGCATGCACTCACTTCTTTAATTCTACACATCCCCAAGCAAAGCAAAAGGAGTAACAGCAGCAATGACCAACAAAATGGAAGAGACTTACACTAAGAAGGCTTGAGGAACTTGGGCATGGATTGTGTGCGGGAGGCTGAGCCAGGAACACTGCAAGTTCAAGGTCAGTCCAGGCTACTTAGCGAGACCTTGTCTCAAAACAAAACAACTCCGAGTACCTATAGGACATCATGTAAAGGGTAGAGTCTACAGTTTCTTCTTTATCTTGGTCCTGACGTAGGGCAGATCATGAACTGATTACCCAGCAGGACACGGTATGCTAATAGGGTGGAGTTGCTAGGGTAACTCAGATGTTTGGGGGAGTGGTCAGAGAGTGATAGCAATGACTACCTCTAAAAGTGAGCTCAGTTCTCCCCAGATTGCAGCTTTCATGTAGCCAGTAGCTACTAGTTTCTAGGCCATGAAAGACGTTTGAAATAATACTGCGGCAAACAAAGAGTGGAATAATTTTGTGGATCTCAGTTAATTTTGTTCTGGGATGGTTCAAGTACAAATGAGCCAGATACTCTAGACACGAGCAGGGACGCCCAGGAGCCAAACGTGGTCATCAACAATGTTCAGACCTGAGACCTGCACAGTCAGGTCACATGAGAGGAAAAGAAAAGCTCAAAATGTTATAAGCACTTTTTTGACTTGTGTGGGGGCCATACTTATAGGTAGAGCAGAATGCAGGGCTGCCCGTGGGCTGCATGGTGGACATGTGTCAACCAGAGTGCTCATAAATGTCGGCGAGTTATGGCAAGGTGAACAGGCCTTTTGATCCCTCAGTGTCTTGTCTTCTGAGCCATGCAGAGTCCTGAGCAAGAGGGCAGACGTAAGCCTTGTGGCCTCCAGCACAAGGCACTGAAGAGGTCCTCAAAGAGTATCTGTGGAATGACTGACCTATTAAACAGCTGAGTACCCTTACCAACCAGACCGAGTTGTAGGAGTCGAACGCTCAGGCGCATGCATTTGGAAGCAGTTATTTCTTTTTCTTTTAAACAGAGGTCATCCGACTGCAAACTTTCAAAGAAACCTTCGGCAAGGTTTTCTCCATCCCGCTGGAATCCATAAGGGAAAATTAATCAAACTTAATGATTTTTTTTCCTTAAATATAGAAACCTTAAAGTAAAATTATTCTAGACAGTATTCTGTCACCCAGAGAATTACCAAACAATAAAAGGAAGCTGGATAACTGACCAAGGGAGGTCATAGAGTCCGGGTCAAAAGGATGTAGGGTGAGAGCCCCGCTCTATAGGAAGATCCTGCGCAAAGGAAGCCTTATTTCCTGGCTCATCTCAGGCTACTTGGAAGTTGAAATCAATTTAATTTTAAAATGGTCCTAGTTTCTGGACCTCTTTGCTGGCTGAGCTTCAGCCACAGCGGGGTAGCTGAACTAAGCGTGTACCTGACTGAGCCAGAGCAGGTAAAGTCAAGCCTGGAGCTAGCACCAGAAAGAGAGTAGAACCCAAGACAAGTGGCCAAGACTGTCAGTCTTTGGGGATCTGGTTTCCTAAGAATCTTTGCCCTGTCCTTAAGACCAGAAAAGCCCATAACTACTTGGCACGGAAATGGTTGAATGCAATCTTATTTTATTTTTCTGAATTTGTGAGGAGTCGGTGGTACAGGCTGAGTGTGGCTTATCTGGAATACTTGAGACTAGAAATATTCGGGATTTTCAGAAAGTCCACATATATGTGTTAAGATTTTCCTGGGAATGGAGTCTGAATCCAAACATGAAATTCATTTGTGTTTAATGTGGACCTTATACACAGAGTGTGAAGATAACTTTATACAATAGTTGTGATTCATCCATGTTTTGGCTATGACCCGTCACACACGTGTGAAATTTTGCTGTTGAGCTCTCTTAATGCTGTCCAGAAGGTCCTGGATTTGGGATTTCAAAATTTTGGATTGGGGTGTTTAACTTGCTTTGGAAGAGAGGGCTGAGGAAATAGCTCAGTGGCCCAACTGTCGGCTGTGTAAGTACGGGAGCCTGAGTTTCCATCTCTAGGGTCCACGTAAGAAGCCAGCCTGGGTGGCACACGTTTGCAACCCTATAACTGGGAGGCGCTGAGACAGGAGGATCTCTAAACCTCACTGGCCAGACAACGCAGCTGAATCTCTGAGTTTTGGGGTGAGGGACTGTCTCAAAAATAAGGTAGAACGAGGAAGACATCCAATGTTGACCTCTGGCCTCAACATACTTGCACACACATGCACACATGCAAATACTTAAACCACGCATACAAAACCTAAATCTGGAAATGGTTGCCTCTTTTGACTTGCTGAGTTTTTCTTAGATTGCTAAGCTGAGTGAAATACACATTAGAAGACTAATCCTTGAGTTCAGTGACACAGATGACGGTTAACTATCATCCCATGTGTGCATGTTTGTCAACACTAGGTCATATGTGAACATGACTTATAACAGCTGGATTAACAATTTAGGACTTCAGAGTGATGTCTGGCCTCTTACAAAATGCTATTCTTTTATAGGTCACCTTATCTTAGGTATGTTCAAAGAAGTGTGGATCTTTTCATAGGTATGTTCACATATATGTGACTTTTCATAGGTGTGTTCATATGAGTGTGACTATTTTCATAGGTACGTTCCTATAAGTGTGACTCTTTTCATAGGTATGGTCCTATAAGTGTGACTCTTTTCATAGGTATGTTCATAGAAGTGTGACTCTTTTCATAGGTATGGTCCTATAAGTGTGACTCTTTTCATAGATATGTTCATAGAAGTGTGACTCTCTTCATAGGTATGTTCATAGAAGTGTGACTCTTTTCATAGGTATGTTCATAAAGTGTGACTCTCTTCAGCATTTCTCTTCTCTATAGAAGTAGCTCTTGGAGTGTAGTCCCTGAAATAAAGCCATCCACACTTCCCAGAAGCCTGTGAGAAATGGGAATCATTAGGCTCTGTCCCAGAGTGACAGGAACTCTGGAGTCTGCTGAGCAAATCTCCCAGGTGATTAGGGTGCTTCGGTCTGAGGTGACTTATGATTCACGGGCAGCAAACAGTGTTCCCAGGAGTCACTATAACAAAGTCTGATCTTCTAGACTAGAATTCTTTTTGTTAAGATTAAAAGTTTTGGATTTTTAAATTTTTATGTGTATGAATGCTTGACCTGTCTACATGTATGCCTGCATACATCCACATGGATGCCTGTTGGATCCCCTGACTGGTGGTCCATGTGGATGCTAGGACTCGACCCCCAGTCTTCTGTAAGTGCAACAGATGCTCTTCGCAACTGAACCATCTCTCTGGCCCCAGGCTAGGAGTCTCAGTGGATGATGGCAGTGAATT